TTAAATAAATATTTCTGAAGATTGGCGTTTTAGTAATAAATTATAATAGTAAATAAATTTTTTAATGATTTAAAGTTTATTTCCGGTTAATCATCGCTCTTGTTTTTTGACCAATCACATGATAATATCACGTGATTTGCCACCGCTTTAGACGACCTCCTTTTTTAGCAATAGTTGTTCTACAAAAAAATTTTTCTAAAAATAAAATTTTTTTTTTTAAAAAATAGTATAATATTTGATCTATAAAAGAAAATGATTAATAAAATTTTATGATTTTAAATTAATGATCATATTAATCAGATCATACCTTTACATTCAATCATAATATTTTATAATAATTTTATTATATAATATTTTTAATCATATTTAATTACATTTAATCTTAATTTATTAGTAATTCAAAAATTATAAAGTTGGCTATAATATATAGAATTTTTTCATTTTTTTATAACTTAAATATAAAATAAATTATATGATTTTATTTGTTTATTTATAAGTATTCCAATTGGTAAAAATCAATTTTATTAAGAACATTAAACTATAATAACTTTTTAATAAGAAAAGACTAAAGTTTTTAAAGATATTTAACATATTAATTATAATATATATATATTTAAATTTCTTCTAATAAAACATGATAAAGTATTAAGTATAACTTGAAAAGTTATAATTTTTAATAAAATAAATATTTTTTTAAAAAAAATATTAGGTTAATTTATTATGTAATATAATATAATATAATCATCTTTATAATGAATAGTATTATGAAAATGATTTTTAATTTAAAATTTTACTTTTATTATATAAATTTAATAAAAAAGAATAATAAAAGATTGTAATAATATAAAAAAATATATATAAAATTAATAATAATATTCTTATTGTATATTATATCAATAATATACTTAAATAATAATATATTTTACTCTTGTACAGTGAACTCTTGATATAACGAATTCTAGGATCTGGATATCAACTTCGTTATAAGCTTATAACGAATTTTTTAAAGAATTTAATTGGCTAGTTCACTATAGTAAAATTTTAATATATTTGATTTAAAAATTCGCTATATCAAGGGTTCGCTATATCAAGGTTTGACTGTATTTATAATTAAGTATTAAAAATAATTTTAAATGTTTCTTTTATATGTTAATTCTAACAAATTAAAATTTATTCAAATCAAATTATTTTTTTTTATATTACAGTTAATGTAATTTATTCTGAATTAGTAATTATGCTTAGAAAAAGTTATAAAAATCAATTTTTAATGCTCTTAATTATAAAAATTTAAAAACTACTTATTAGTATATACTGTAAGTTTATAATTTATAAAAAATATTTTTTCTTAAATACTGTGTATTCTTTTTAATTACTTTTGGAAATCGTTTAATAATGTGGCGAAATCAGGAACAGAAGATTTATCCGCCTCCGCCATGTTATCAATATCATTAAATTCATTAACTTTCTTCTTTTCGATTATATGATCTGCAATAAATTGCAGGTCATCGCATCCACCATTATTATTATCATCCATCCTTTTTCTTTTCTTTGTTTTTGCAATTGAAGCAATCCATTCAGGGTTTGATTTTTCGATTTCTTCACGTGGTACGTGATGGTAATTACACTAGAATATTTAAAAAAAATATTGTGTGTTTTTAAAAGAATTTTATTAACAAAATAAAGCGAATTATGATATGATTTAACATTTAACCTTTTTTCTGTTGCATTTCCCAATCCGAACAAAATCATAACAAATATTTTTTCGAACAAGACCTGTTCTAATTGGCTCGATTCGAATGGGAAATGTACCTACGATCTGGGCTTGTGTGCCTTTCCACAATAATGGCACAAATGGTATTGTTTCACGATCGATCTTAATATTCTGTAAGTTGGCTTCCTGTGAATTGGTCGGGTTTACAACATTTTCAACACTCTTATAAACAGTAGCATAAGGTTCCCTTTTCTCATGATGAAGAAGATATGATCCTTGAGATAATGAGCTAAAGATGAGAATAATTAAAGTTTAGAATTAGGTTTGTATAAAAAGAATCAAGAATTAAATTATTCAAAATACCGTTGCAAATGCTTGAAGATATAATGCAGTCTTTTATTAAGTAATTTCATGCTAATAGTTAAAAGAGTAACAATAAGTATAACATTAAGTTGTATATTTTAAATAAATGAAAATCTTACCGAATTTCATCAGGAAGAATTTGTTCCGCTGATGCCTTTTCGATTCCATATAAAGTATTCGTTGGAACATTGATTCGGCCGAGCATCAAATCTGCTTTATCGCGTATTAATGAGTATATCCACCAGCGCGCTCGCTCAACGTTCGTGATACTTTCAAAATTGTAATCCAGCTGGTATTCCAATTTTGTTTTAATTCCCACTGTACGAATCTAAATAGTCAACATTTATTTCCTTATGATTATCTTTACATCCTCCAAAAGGATTATTTGTGCAATACACCATCACTTTAAAAAGTAAAATAAATAAATAAAAAAAATATACCTAACCAACCTTTTGATCTGATTCTCTAGAATATCCATTAGATCTACATCGTATCAAAATACTCAAATCTCCGAAATCCCAAAGCGAATATTCGAGGTTATTTGAAGCATGTTGTAATTTTGTATTTTTATTTTCGTACTTCTTTTCGTACGTCGTATTGCCCACTTGAATATCATTAATTTCGACACAAGTGTCCGTTTTCAGTGCCAAACTTTCAAAGGCTGCATTATAGTAAATTTGATTTATATCACGGGGTGTCAATTGCTTTTTAATAAATGGTTTATCGATATATATAGTCTTGAGAACAGAGTTTTCTAGTATGATATATCAATTTATTATTTAGTGATTTCACAATTTTAAATATAAAATAAATTATTCGAATTACCTTTAGTAGTCTCGATTATTTTAATAGGAATTTCCAACTCATCATCTATAGACTCAGCTAAACCAATGAGCGCAACTAGACCACCGGAAGAAATTACAATGTCAACTTTATGATTAGAAAGCATTGCGGGGATTAATGGGTCTTGGCTAACCACGGGAATTTTCTATTAAAAACAAAAATATTTTGTGAATTAGAAATTAACCTTAATAATCACATAATAAGATCATTTACCGTCTTTTGCCAATAATCTTTTATCTCGATGCTCTTGGATTCCGTTGTCATTGTATTAACAGCTTGAATATCATCTAACCAAAGTTTCTTGTCTAATGGAATATGAATTTGATTTATTGGTGAATTCGAAAATTCAAAACATTTTCCCTTTAAAATACAAAAATATACAATAATGTTTATATTTAATAATGATAAAGCAACCACTTAAAGAAATGAAACGTACGATCGAAACGAGTTTTTGTTTGAATTTTAACTCTGGTCCTTCGGGACTGGCCGGATCAAGCCCAATCGTTAGTTCCACTATCTAAAAACATAAAAGAAAAAAAAATTGTATATAAATTTGAAATGACGTATTTACATATTGATATACTTACCGGGTAATCATTGATATCGCCACGTCTACCGTATTTTAAGTGGTTCTAAATAAAGTAAATGTTAAGTTAGATTGCTAGGAAAAAGGGGTTCTGCGACTATGTATTATATATATTCAGAACCCCTTTTTCTATCAAACTTCCCATATCTCGAATAATCATAAACATATTACTAACCTCGACTTGACTTTGAATTATTTTATTCAAAAAACCTAGTAACATCTTCGACCTTTTAAACTGCCATTGTTCAAAATTCATCCTTTCATTTTCTACTCTTTCCAACATCATCTGATAAAAATCGTGCTGCTCCTTTGAAACCAATCCTGGCTATTAAAATAATCGTTAGTATTGTAACAATAAACATGTTTATAAACAACAAAAGGATAACTTACATTATAATATACCATTGAATCTATCTGAAGAAATTCTCGATGTTCTTCTGCAGACATCGAAGAGCAAGGTAGGTTTAAAGGTATACTCAATAGTGCATTCGTTTCTGCTCGAGAATTTGATTGTACATCTGTTAAATTAGGAATATTGGTATCAATCATAGATTGATTCTGTATCGCCGTAATTTCATTATTTTTATTTACACTCTCCACGTCAGATTTCTTCCGGTTATCAAGCATTTCTAATATAGGCCCCAATATATCTCCGGAAGTTTCAGATGCGGGCTTTTTTGTAGGGTTCTTTACGGGAACTTCACTAACAGACAAATTTGATATTGAAGGTAATGGAGTTGATACTGTTGCGCTTTCAACAATTTTATTTTTATTGTCATTTTTTAAATGTTCTTTAACAGATGATTTTGCTTTTTGGCTGGGCATCTTTTTATCAGATGATATTGCTTTGGATCTAGGAACCTTTTTAATTGTTTTGCTAATATCTTTAAACGATGTCAAACTACTCCTTTGACTAATGTTATCTTTCGTAGACTCGACGCCAACCGAAGGATTTGAAAAATTACTTATTTGACACTTTTGAAATGTAGGAGTATTCGAAAATTCCATGCCAAATTTCTTCTCTATAACAGTAGAACTTTGATCCTTAGGAATTTGAGGTTCTACTTGTGCCATGATGACTTTCTTGTTTATTATAGAAGTGTTACTTTTGTTTTCTCGAACTTTTGATTTATCTTGTGATACTACACCTTCTTGAAACTTGGATCTAATAGGAGATGTCGAGTCAATTTTCTTTTTATTTACTGAATTAGAAGTGCTTTGCCTTTTTCGAACATTTGGTTTATTTATGGAGACAACAGTAGACTCTCTATTAGCTGCCATAATATTAGTAGATTGGTCTTTTAGATTACTTTTTGTTCCAATAACAGTAAATTTCTCCGATGTTAAACTTTTATTATTTTTGTGAACTTCGGGTTCGTCTCTGATCATATTTTGATCTTCTTGAACTTTAGGTACATTTCTTAAAGAAGTAAAAGAATATTCCGCATTATCTATCAAAGTATTACTTTGTGGTTCATGTTTATCTCCTCGTATATCTTTTTTTGTGATTTGTTCCTTCGAACTTTCATCGTCTAAAATAAATCAATTTAATTAGTGAGCCTTATTAATAATTAATCAAAGGAAGTTTATTGCAGATTTGTAGATACCTTCGCTATCAATATTTATAATATGAGCGTTTGAATTATTTTGTTCATTAGATATTTGATTATGTGCATTTGTACGTATCGAGAGAGAACTTATAGGAATATCATTTTGGGATTTAGATGAAAAAAATAATTCGTTTGATGTTCCTCGATTCATGCTAAAATAAGGTTAGAACCAAAATTTTTTTAAACTTCAAATATTATTTATTCAGCTCAAAATTATCAAACCTTATTTTTCTTCTCGTTGTCATGTTTTGTTTATGTTCAACAACAGTTATAATGGAATCGTCGTGGTCAAAATCGGGATCGGCAGAGTCGTATAGTATGATTTCAGTGTTCTCAATGGATGTCGAGATAGGTAAATCGGGTTGAAAATCTTCTTTTAAATCATCAGAAAGCTTAAGTGTGAACCGTGGTAAAATCTGAGATCTTATTCTTAGAGATTCATTATCAGATTCATAGGAATTATAATGATTTTGAATCACCTGATCTTGTTTCGAATTATTCTCCTGATCTCTTGTTGGATTCATGTGTTCTTGTTGTGGAGGGTCTTTTGGTTTACTCAAAACAAGCTCTGGTGGTTCTTTTTGAGTCATATTCGATGAATTTTCTACACTAGGTGAATAATTATGAATTTCATTTACATCGTGAACATCCATTATGTCAAAACAATGATCATCCATTGATAATAGGGCATTATCAGATGAACTATTATTTTTGCTCTTGAGACATTTTTCTAGAGAACAACTTGTTGATTTGGTCGAAGCAAGAGCAGACTTGAGTCCTGATAGGATCTTGAAAGCCTGTCGAAATTTAGTTTTATCAACTTTAGTTTGTCGTCCGAACTTTTTTAGTGCACTTTCATTTATTTTATTTTGCTGAACACAACCCTCTTTGATAGAGTTTGGAATAGTATGCTGCTGTGTACAAGCAAGATTCATTGTTATTCCTTAGCTTTCAAATTCCTGGAATTGAGTTTTGTTGTTGTTAATAGAAGAGCTACAGTTATTTTCATAAAATTTGTTCTTGAGTGTCACTTTCTTTTCGTCGAAGTCGACCTTGGAAGTTCTGATGGACAAATTTCAATTTGAACCATTGATTTACGTAATCCGCAGTAAAATGAAAATCATTACTAAGCGGATTCTATGATTTTCAATACTAAACCAAATAGAGCGATCAACCCACCTAAAAACAAAAGAATTTTTGCTCTCTTACAAAATTATAATTTCCTTTAATTTCTGTGACCTTTTATACAAATACTACATATATACCACCTTTGCCGATTCATATCTTCCACACCCTCTTAAATTGATTACATATATGTCTCCTCTTTAATTACCTGGCATTAATTCTTTGCAAATTATCAATATTAATCTACAGAACTCAGATCCATTACTAATATCATAATTCTGGAAATAAGTAAAAGATTTACTTCTTCAAAAGCAAAGAAAAAGATATTTCTATACATAATATCAACAAACAACAATGGTCTGTATTTCCTGCACATAGGAGGAAGTTCACGTGATTGGCCGATCAATTTTAATTGAATTTATATAGTTTAAAGTACTTTTCAGGAAATAAGGTTTCACATATTAAAATTTTTTTTTTTTTTAGATATAGCTTTGTCAGAGCATTAAAACGTTATTTTCAAAAATAATCTCTAATAATCTCTAATTTAAGGGGTATTGACTTAGTAATAAAGTTATGGGTAAAAGAAAGAATCTTAAAGGATCGTGTGTTATGGAAATTTGCAAAAAAACATCTGTAACATGGCGAACTGTTACTGAAATGGTGATATCTCGTGGAAAGGCTAGTAAAACACTTCCTGATTATGTTAAAGAAAATGATATTATATGCTTAAATTGTTATAATGCAATTGTTATTAATGAATCTTCTGAATTTAAACAACATGCATTAGAACAATATTATCATAATGAGCCGAAAACTTCTAATAATGATATTTTGTCTTTTTCACAGGCTGTAGGGATAATTACAAAAGTTCTTTATGAAAGGGAACGTAAACTATTACCACCAATTTGGGATTTCGAAGAATTTCGTATGCTTATGAAATCAGAAGACGAACAGTTGAAACAGTTTTTTGATGAACTATACTTATCAACTAATCCATCGACAAAGAAAGAGGAGACAATGAAAAAAGTTTCAAAGCAATTAGTATTTTTATGTTATTATCTTTGCGGCATTAGAAATAAATTTGTTAACAATGCAAAAAGAGATCTTGGAATGTATTTAGATTCTACTGGAACACCTAATTCAACAATAAATACTTTAGCGACAATAGGCTTAACGATGACATTTTGTACAATATCTTACCATAAAGATGCCATTTCTCAAAAACATCCGATGACTGTGGAATCAAGACTTTCAAAAAATGCTAGCAATGCGATGGTTTTGAATATTGATGATTATCACAGCATTCACACTAAAAGGATGCCTAATACAGTTACAACATCAACTGCAACACATCTTGCTATAGTTTTACTTAATCCAATAGAGAATGAGCCAGCAATATTAAAGCAAGATATCCATAATCCTGCATTAGTTGATGCTTCATTGATCAAAATGGGTATTGAGACCTATTTTATATCATTTTATTCATTATCTCATAACCGACGCTGGGGATTTCGTTCTGTGAATAATGAGACAAAACTCGAAGAATTAACCATTCATAGTTATGATATTCGTTTAAAAGAAAAGAGAAATACCAGATCAATGAAAGATGTGGTGCTTGCGGATCTTTTGGAAAATGATCTTCATTCAGTAGAATCTTATATTAATGCTACTAACGCAGTTACTTCTATTCCTACAATTAATAGGTATATCAAAGCAGGTAATGTTATTCTGGTCGTGGCTGATTGGCCTGGTCAAATATTCTTGAGAACTGCTATAATTCGATATCTTATTTATGGTAATTCTTCTGGAATTACAGATGAAATCTTATCTTATATTCTGATGATGGGTCCTTTGCATGTTTCGCTTAATAGTCGTGAGCTAGTCTTTCTCCAATACCAACCATTCTTTTCTGCAATATACAAATATATATTTGGTAAACGAAAACCACTTGCTCAAAAGCTGAAGCTATGGTGTATAAACTTATTATTAGAACTCTCACGTAGTGCATAGCAGGAAATTGTGCTAATAGTTAAAGTAAAATTTGGCTGTGTATACAAAGATGCAGAATATATGGCACTTAAGGATTTATTGGATAATTTAATTCTGCTAGTTTTTAATATTTATGCTTTATTTTTCCGTGCTGGTGATTTTAACTCTTACATTGAATCATGTTTTCGGGTTTGGACTGTTTTTCTTAAATTTAATCGTAGAAACTATACTAAAGCATCTTTAATATTTTTATCAGATATTTTCTACTGGAAATCGAAAGATCATTCAATTCTAAAACAATGAAAGCAGAGTTACCAAAATTTTCCGATTCTCCTGTTGAAATCTTTTATAGTCTTTTACAACGTAATACAGAGAAACATCTTACAGCAAGTCAAATAATAAAGGAAGCACGATACATTAATCATTTACGATTGAGCGATGATGGATTCAAAGAAAATTTCGTTCATGATTCAACTTGGGCTATATATCAATATTCTTCACAGGATATTACAACTTTAATACGAAAAACTGCATGCTTTCTTTTAGATTGTTTTTCAGATATTTATACTCGTATTAATTATGAAAAAATACAATTTTTAATTCCATTACAGATTACTACAAAAGGTTCATCAAAAAAGAGAAAACTGATACTAAAAACAGTTTTCTATCCGGCAATGAAGATGGAGGATGCACAGCTTTGTCATTTATCTTTAGGATATAATTCTTCTTATAAGCCTAATTTATCTGGTTGTGATTCTTCTAATTGTCTTATTACTAACATTACATTTAATGAAGAAACAGGTCAAGTACTGTCATGTGGTCACGCGTATCATAATATATGCTTTAGTCTAAACGGATTCAAGTGTTTGCATTGCTTAGATTATATAAAGTTCAGCATTGATGAACATGTACAATCACTTTTGGATAGTTTATGCTGACCTATTTCAATTGATAAAACTGAAAATGAAGAACCTGATTTTATTCCTGAAGATGATCATGATGATAAAGAATCTGTTGATAATATTTCAGCTTCTTGAGACATTGCAATACTATGATTTATTCAACAATAATCAAAAATTATTATGTAAATATATTAAATATGTAGTAACTTTATAAGTTTATCTAAATATATACAGTATATTAAATATGAAATACAATTTTAATAAATTTTTGAAATAATATCAATGATATATAATATACAAGAAATATGCTTTTTATTTTATTTAAATTGATATTTAATTTTAATTAGTCGAATTGATACTTAAATTTAATTGGTTGATTATTGTTTGTTTTAGTCATCAAATTAGCCAATCACATGAACTTCCTCCTATGTATTTCCTGCAATAACTGATACCCTCTTAAATGTTTACCACTTAAAATACGATCTTTTTCCAATTATACTTTGAACTTATATATTAGTATTATATTATAAAGTAGCCAATAAAACTTTCTGCATAAATTCTTCACCAATTATAATCATAACCTTAGATCTAAAACATTCAAAAAGGAATTTTCAAAGTCTAAAAAATTGAAATGTATTACAAACCAAATTATTTATATAGGTACATTAAGGATTCTTGGTTCAACTCTTTGAAATAATATTAAATCAATTAATTTTATAACAGGTTTGAATGCTAAACAATCAGGTATCTTTCTGATTGGTTACTATTTTTTGATAGATAAATCAGTAGATATTACAATCAGATATGAATCAGTTAATACCTGATTTATAATTATTTGATAGAATTACATAAATCGGATTTCCAATCCAATTTTATATTTATTTTAATAAATTATAACTATATGTTCATCAGATTCAATTAACAATTAGTTATTAATTAGTTTAATTCTAATTGATGATTATTATTTAATTAGAATTTACTGATTGGTTTTTATATTAATAAATTTACTGATTATTTCCAATTTATAAAATTATTCAATTTTATCAATTGTTTTCAAATTTATAAATGTATTAAAGTATACCGATTGTTCAAATTTATTTAATAAAATATAATTAAATTATCATTATAGATAAAATTGTCTATCAATAAATATAACTGTTATATATTTTTTTCAGTTTTTATATACCAACTATAAATCAATTATATATATTATGAATTAGAATAATACTATCTTTATCAAACTTATAGAATTCATCTTTTCAAAGCTCAATATTACATAATTCTTCTTTAACGTTAAATTTATAATAAATCTTATTTGCTAGTTAGAAGCTGGTAAATGCCATTTTACAAATACTAAATGATGTGTTATTGTACCTATTAAAAAATTAAGTAAATGTTCAAATAATATTATATTTCACCAGGAAATATGTCTGTACTTTATATAAATTTTGCTAATATATATGAATTTTTATATATTAGGATATAATTATTATTCTAAAAATTTCAGATTTAATCCTAATACAACCATAGTAATTAACATATAGCTAAGGTTATTAGACGAAATCCAGAGTTTAGATAGACATTTAAATGGTAAAAGTAAAACTTGGTTAAATTATATTAAAATTTTATTAAAAAATCTGCGAAATTCAGAAAAAGTTAAAACTATATCAAAGCTTATAAAAATGGCGAAACTATATCAAACACTTAATAAAAATTTAGCAAAATTAAAGATTTAGATGTTTAACCAAATTCAAAATAAGTTTAAACAAATAACCTTATATATAACAAAACAATAGTGAAATCTTCTATTGATATTTTAGAAACTGTATATGTTATTATTACAAATTTAATATCATTTACATTATTATAATATTGAATTAATAATTCATAAATGTTGTCTAGTAAAGATATGCATTCTTTTTTTAGAAAATATATTTATCCTGAAAATGACTCATTACTGATAATAATTTTATTAAAATGACAAAAGATTTATACGAATTAGTATGATTCTATAAAATCTAATTCATCATATGATGTTAAACTTCTAGCAGTCAGATGAAAGTTTATCAATTCAAAATTTATGTTAGTTTTGAATAATCTAATTGATTAAAAATTAATTTATCTATTTTATGAATTTGCATAATAATATATAAAGGTTCTAATTTAAATTATCATTTACTGTTCATAAGGGATTCTATAAAGAAAATTAAATAATTATTAATCATATATTTAATTATTTAATAATTTAATAATAATTAATATAAAATTTCACCTAAAACTTTATTTATTCTTTAAATGAATAATATCAAAATGAATATATCATCACAATAGTATTTAGTAATATAAAGCAAAAGATGTATAATATATTTGGTATTATAAATTCTGATCTATAATTTTATTTAACCAAATATGCTATTTATAACAATTAGGCATAAATTTTAGTCAATATATTGTTTTTAATTATTTAACATGCAAGTAATGAGTAAGTTTTAACAAATTAACTAAAATTTCTCTATCTGATAAATCTAAATAATAGAGTCACATATACTAAAATAAAGTCTTCAATTAATCAGCTGTAAAATTAAAAAATTTTTTTCCAGTTAAAATTTTATTTGGAATCTGATCTAAATCAGTAGGTAGATTAATAATATAAGATCAATTTTATTAGATTATAATCTTTTTACTATCCAATAGGCAATACTAAGAAAAGGTAATGTATTAGATTAATAACAAAATATTGAATCAGGTTAAAATAAAGTAATCTTAACATTTCTGACTAATATATATATATATCAAAAATATGTTGTTTTTTTTATTTTTTGTTTTACATTACCACTATTCTTTAGCATTTCTGAGATATTCTTCAAGATCTCGTTCTTGAAACCAATTGGTCATATTTTCAAATCCATCAAAATTTGGTTTTCTACCTTCTATATTTACTTATTTATAGTATCAATAGTAAATAATTAAATCTGATATATGCCTACATAATTTTTTGGTAACTGAAATATCATTTGAGTAGCAAATGATAGCTAACCTAATTTTTTTTCATTCAGAAATTTGGTTAAGATTAGTATAATATATCCATTCCACAATTCTAATAAATTCATCTACTATCAGGAAAGATAGTGATTTATTCAATGTATCTTTGCCTTTTTGGAATCTAGTAGTAGTTTAAATATCAATATATATTTTTTTTTAAATCAGACTTCATATAGAAGGTTATATATAATATCATATATGATGCTACTATTATATGTTGATGATTCAAATAATTGAAATTAATTGAGATTATCATAATTCTTAAATAAGAATCAGCAATTTCTGATGTAAAAAATGCGAAGAATCAGATGTGTCAAATTATAATAGAAATGTTTTCAAATTTCTTTATCATAAATATCAGTTATCAATTTAGTATTATTCCAATTGGTTTATTTTTTCAAAAGAAATCCAAATCCTAATTTCTAATATATTTTAATCAATTGAGTTTTTAAAGATAGTAAGGGAAAAATTATTTTTGGTTTTCTAATATAATCTTTTATTGATATTCTCTAACCTTTACTCAAATGATTTAGAAATTATATATAATTGTATTTAACATATTATTAGATAATGTTCTGTTTAAGCAATTTACTACTTCTGATTTTAATGATCTTGATAAATTAGATCATAAATATCCTAGTACAAATATTAACTTTAATAATCTGTGAATATTATTCAAATATAATTTTGCCTTTCTGATATTGCTATTTATTCACCTATTAATTTTTTTAATATAATTTTATTAAATGCTAATTGGTCATATTTAAAGATTTTTCTACAAGTTTTTATATGACAAAAAAAATAATAGGAATTAATAAATAAGCAAAGATATGTTCAGATTGCAATACATTATATAAATTTCATAAATTTTACAATAAAATATGAACAATCAATCAAAAACTATTAGCCTATAGAATGATAAGATATTCTTCCAAAGGTCAAACGAGAGAAAAGATTTATTTACTTCTATATATTTAGTTTTGACAAATGTAGTACAAACATGCAATTAAAATTATATTGTATGGTGTAACTCGGTCAATATTAATGCTAGAAAGATGAAATTACTACCATTAGATTTCTCTCGATTAGACGAATCCAATGGTATAAATATCATTAAAATTGAATCACTAGTTATTGAGATAATGGGGTATGTAGGATACGTAAATTTGTAAAAATAAGCAACTTTTGGCAAAGTTTACATATAAACTCTACGTAAACTCAAATGTGAGTTATATTAGTATAGTTCGGGGTCCTACTCTCTAAGTTTAAAACCATATAATTATTAGAAATTGGAAGGAAATTTTAAGGCAAAATAATTTCTCATCATGTTCAAAATTAAAGTGAAAAGAGAATTATTATCAGTTAAAAATTCACTATTAAAAAGTTGATCTATAAAGAATTATTAACTGATCTATAAAAGTTATTAAAATTAATTTTATGTTGATCATGGAATTAGAGGATCAGCATAAATTTTAATTTACCTGATTTTCTGAATTCTGAAAATTTACCTGATTTATTGGATTCATCTGATAAGCCTTATAAGTTAGATAATTATTATAACGCTTATTTTTATTATTTAATTATTTTTATTATTTTTATTATTATTATTATTATAATTATAATTATTATAATTATTATCTCTGTTATTCATATTATTATCATTACAATAGTACTTAATAGTTATAAATTTAGTTAGTTTATAATGTAGCAATTAGTTAGCTGTAACAAATTAATTTTGTATAAATATATAACTTTTTGCTCAAGTTATAAAAAAACTCTTTTGTAAGTTTTTAAATACTTATTAGTTTCAAGTAATAAAAATAAAGAAATCAATTTTGAAATATAATTAATTTTTCCTTCTATGTATCTATCATCTAGGATTTGATTATAAATTACTACACTAACTTACTTTTAAGTTTGTCATTTAGAAATAAATTCTTTATGTTTTCCTTTAAGCCATAAAGTTAAGCAAAGTAATTCTAAGGTATTCTAGATATCTGTAAAATGTGAGATTCCCTAAAGTTGTAAAGTCTGATAATAAGAAACTTACTTATCACAATAAAATAATTTAGTGAAATACATGTGCAAAGAGAATTATTCCTAGTAATAATATATAATTCTTAAATTAATGGTATATAATTTTAAATAATTTTTTCTATTAACTATTATATTAATTATTTTAATTTAATTTATTTATTATAGAATTTTCATATTACTTTATAATTAAATAATATTGATAATTAAAGTTATTTATCAAGATTAATAAAAGAGCAATTTATTAAAATTAAATATAATAAAACATTATTGAATTTATAAAAAGTTATGATCCTGAATTTTAAGGATTTTTTGATATTTTATTTAGAGTAATAAAGAATTTTTAAAACAAAATATTATGATATTTTACTATCAAATAATAGGATTGTAAAATAAGTGAGTAGAATCTATTATTAGGGTAGAATTAGAAACCTATAATCATTGCATAAATATTACTATCAAAATGGGTTTAGTATAACATATCAAACAGTTTTTAATTAACTTAATAAATAGAAAATAAATATTAGTCTGATATATAAACTTATATTAATATAATGCAAATTTTTTTTAAAAAAATTAAATTAGATTACAATACTTTTTTTAAAAAAATTAATTTAATTTTTAATAAAAAATAAAATTGAAATTTAGTTTGATAATCTTTTAATAGCATGTGTGGATGATTACCACAATATATATTTAACTTGTATTTCTTTAACAAATTTTACTTTATAAGCTCACATAATATCATATTATTTAATACTTACCAATTCCTTATTATTCTAATTATAATTTTTCTATTTATAATCTTATGATATTGATGTTTCACTTTTTAAATTAATCTGTAAAGAATAATTTATGATAACTTTAGCTAATAATTATAATTCAATAAAATTAAACTAAATTTAAGTAATACAAGTTAAATCTAAAAAATATTAAAAATAACATGTAAGCTGTTCAAACATTTATCAGATTGATATAGAAATGAATTAATAATTAGAAATTTAATCAACTTATATTTTTTTATGACTATCAAAAACTAAAAAATATTTTGAAAAGTATGTAATCCCTCTTATAACTGATTTTTTTTAGATTTTGGGTAGTTATTCATAAGAAAAGCAATTGTAAATAAATTATACTAAAAGAAATTGCATTAAATTCTATTTGTGAGATTTCTTCATATTTTACTTAATATATGTAAATCAGTATTTATTATATTTTATCCTTTTTTTAATTATATGTATAGAAACTGATGATAAATCTAAATTATAGAGGATTAATTTGTTTTTATATCTAATATTAGCAACTTTAGATATTTATTTTAAAAAACCAGTTTGAAGAATATATTAATATAAAATTTTGATTATAGTCTACAATGCAATAATTTTATAAGCATAATTATAATAAGATTATGCTAGCATTTTTGCCAGATATTCATTATTAAAAAATGATCTATTATCAATAATATATATTTTATAAATATATTTAAACATTTTTGATAAATATTTAGTTAAAAATTTTTATGCTTTATTATGCTATATACTAATGCAAAAGTATTTATTAAAAAGTCATTAAAGTAGCATACTTTATTTTTAAATTATTGTTAGCATGAAAATTCATTTGTAAAATCTTTAAATCAAAGTATGATTATTTCTATTTAAAAAAAAAATCTTGATGATTTAGTTAAATTATTAGCTATTTTTATCTGGATTTTTTTTCAATAACTTATAGCAAAATCCTAATTAAGAAAAGGAGAAAAATATTAAAAAAGATTATTATTACTTTCCTGATATTAAAATACAATTTTTCTTTGGTATTTTGTCACTAGAATATCATATAAAACTTTAGTCAGTAACTAGTAAACTATGTGATATCTAATATATACAGATCTGTTATAGAATAATATTTAAATATTAATTTATAAACATAGATATCATGAAACTTGTTTTTAAATTTTGACTTGTATTGTTTACATATTTTAATTACTTTCTAATTTAATTGAGAAGTTATTTCAGTCTTACAATTAAAGATTACAAATAAATGAGAATATTGATAATCAGATAAATTTCAAATATAAAATGATAATGATAATGATAAATTAAATAAAGCTGAAACTTTACCTAAACAAATTGGAATTAATACAGAGTTAAAAAAAAATTATCTGATAAGTTGATAAATTTCTTTTTCAGTTTTAATTTAATCAATTTAATTTTATGATTAATATAAAATTTTTAACAGAATTTGTTAAAAATTGTATACAAATCAAAAGTATTGAGTTATTACCAATATCTAGTTTATTATTGAAGGATATTACAAATATAACTGTTTTTTAAACAATTCTGAAGAATTTTTGATATAATTATTATAGTATTAGGCTTTAAAAATTATTATTTATAATAAAAAATTATAAAATTTGCAAAAAAAAAACCTTTAATTTTGATTTTACTTACATTACTATAAATTTTATTGGTATTTAAATAAACTAATGAAATGGATTTTTAATCATGAGTTTAATACTGCTGATACAGTTTGAAATATTAGCAAAAATGAATATCAGATTTAGAATAATCTACAGTCACATATCTGGTTATTACATATATTACTAACAAAAAATTATAACACTTGTTAATCTAAAAGATCAAATAATAAATATATGAATATATGCTTTTGAACATATACTTTTATAATCTGCTCTTGCTCTCATCTCCAAAAGGTTTTATTTAGCTTAACATTAACTTGAAATTTCTTAAATTTAATCTTTTTAGAATGATATATAAACTGACTGCTAAAGGATTATTATGCTTATTTTGCTAAATATTCAGAAAGTCTAGTATTATATAAATTCAAGGAGAATCAAAATGAAGGAATGCATCAGCAAAAGTAGCAGCAATACTTTTGCTAAATATTTTTGTGAATTATCTTCATTAAGCAATTAATTCTTAAGAGAATTATTCAAATTTATCAGAGAGATGTAATCGCACAGCAGAATAATTTGTACATTGTTCATTACGATAATGAGGAAAATGATCGCCGCCAC